AAGACTGAAACTGTAATATACAAATTGTAATTTACTTATTAATATTTAAATAGCTTGCAGAAATCTCTACCGTACAAACCGGATACGAATGAAGACTATGCATTACTGTACATTAACAACAATTTGTTTTTTTTATTTATTGTTTTGATGGCAATCAAACTCATTCAAGTAAATTCTTAAACATAAGCAACATCGTGCAAACAAAAATCAATCGGCACTTAACTACAAAAACAGAATAAAATTGACATGGAAACAAAAGGATCTTAAAAGCGGTGGTGATATCAAGTAAACTGAACAGAAACGTATCCTTTACGACATATCTGCCATGTTTTACTAAGTTGGCGAATTTCTGCGAACGTTTTCGATGAATAGAACACATCTATCCAGAACTTGCTATTTATATCAGGTTTTTGTGTACGAAGTGTTAAATACGCTATAGGATATAACAGTGCAGTGTTTGTTACCATTTATTAAGTACCAGAACACATCATGCAGTAAGCAATTCTGAGTTTGCTTATATGCTCATGCATATCACATAGTTTAATACTTATGAATTATTGATCATATAAAGGAATCATATCCATACTTTCGTTACTGATTGTACTAGTTAGAGATATACATAATACGAAATAGTAGTATATAACACAAGATAACAATAAATAGAACCAGATATAAAATATGTCAGAGCAGTTCATAAGATGAAAAATAGATTGTATTTGATTTGTTCGATTTGTAGTAAGGAACATATATGATTTTCATCTGAATTGTCAATTATACAACTTTTATGTTTTGATGTTAGGTTCGCTCATTTGTCAGCAGAAACCTATAGAAACAGAATAACCTTGGATTTTTTACACAGGTTGACAGTTTTTTCAAGTAATGTCGCATGACCAAAGACCTGTTTTCAATACGCGTTGTATTAATACTTGACATTTTCAAAAATTCAAATAGTAACTTAGATCGTTTTGTATAGGTTCTAACCAGACATCTGACTAAGGTCAAGTAATCAGTAGATATTTTTTTCATCGATGAATCAAAGTATGATTTAAGCTTTCCAAATACAAGACAGTCAATATTAATCAAAATTGGTTCGTTTTGACTAAGAGTATAATACTTACCTCCCTTGACACTGTTTTGTAGTCAGCTATGGTAATTGATATACACTAGGTCACGGGGTTTTATTGTGTCAAGGGTGTAAACACAAAGCCATATCACGTTACACTCGTGCGAGACGTCAGAGCTGTACAGAACCTAAAATAACGCTACAGACTACATTTGCACTATACAAACATTCGGAATGTTACCTGACTGGACTACCCTCACCAACAATGCTGTGTGCATCACAATCTCTAAAATAGATAGTGATACCCGAATGTTTACAGGATATTCTTGGTCTCAATAATGAAAAACCGTTATTTTTTCATAGTGTAATATAATTTATTCATCAAGAAGTCAAAACAATTATGCTAATAACATATCATATAAACATATGATCTCTCATAGACAGACAATCTATCTCCGTCCTAGATGCAGGGACATGTATATAATAATAATCGCTCTCTGAAAGGTCAGTTGAAAGTAAAGGTGCTATAATTTTGTTTTTTGTTATAAGACTAATTAAAATAATTACCCGAAAATTGATAACACATATGTATATCCTTGTCCAAAGCACAGCCTTCCTTTTCGTTTGTTGTTGCTAGGACAGTGAACAATATAACTTTTTATATCTTATTTAATAAATACAACATAATATGACATCAAATATGAATAAATGAACTTTACGTAATAATTATAATACTGAAAATAAATGAATAAGGATAATGTCAGTGTTCTTAATATCAGTAAGTGTACGGTTTATCTCCCTTTATGTCGAGTGTAAAGTGATACCCGGGTACTAATAATGGTATCCAATCAGCTACGTGACCATAGGAGAGGAGTCATTATATGGGACAACGGCGTGAACTGTTACTAATAATAGCAATGTGGAGCTTGCAAAGGATTCGTAGAAAAACAACCAGAAACATTATTAGGTACACGTAACGAAACCTAGAAATTACAGGACAGAGCAGACCTAATTAGACGGATCTTTGTCGTAGGTCAGGGTATGTATCTGTTCTGATAAAATGAAATAACATATCAGATCACTTGTTTTTTTTTTATTTTGAAGTGTGTACGTAAAGAAAAACCTATAAGATATCTAATGCTACTGCTGAACAGTGAGTCCCACCTGCAGACCTCGTTTTTAAACATTGTATTGAGGCGTCGTGAGCTCCCATCATACCGGGAAAAAGAACTAGCATGTTGTTCCTAATATTTACCTTACTCTGTTGAAACCTCCAAATAGGTCAGGAATCAGCAACGCGTGGAATGCTCAATGTAATTGGCCTATGTAAATACTGTCTTAGTGGGGTCATATTAAAATGTATAGGGCTCAATTACGGTAGTGAGTAATATGTAGTTCAATTGCCCCCTTGCATACCTCGTTAATAAGAAAGGTCGTTTTTACATTTGATGTGGGTTTTTCCGGCTTTCATTTCGGTATATAATACAGTCAAGATCATTTAAATATGTTATATACGGGGCATATTCTCTGCAAAATGTACGTCATTTTTTTCTTTTTATAGCAATGTGGGTATAATGATGATTCGTGGGAAACATTAATCATTTTACATTCAAGTTTATAGGAAACAAAACGTCAGATAGCTATAGTTTAAAACAGGTTTTCATGTATGTATAACTACTGTTTTAGGTCTACATAGAAATACACGATCCAACTGTTTGAAGGCCAATGTCAGTGCTTTGGATTTGGGTAAAAAATGTTTGACTGTGGTGTAGCTAATATTGTTATACGAATACGATACTGCATTCATATACACATACCTGGGTACGTGAATTGGAGAGATGTTGATAAGTCGTTAGATAACATCAACAGTATATTGCAGTCTGATTTAGACAATGTAACCGAGTGGTGTATTGAAAATAAAATAATGATAAATGTCAAGAAAACAAAATGTATGTGCATTGCCTCAAAACAAAAGCAAAAAAGAACCGGTTTAAATTTATAATTAGGTATGTACAATGAACCCCTTGAACAAGTTTGCAACGGAAATATGTTTGGTGTACATATTGATAAATGATTGTTTTATCTAATATAAGGCAAAGGTTAGGGTTATTGAGACGTATAAGCCCATATCTACCTACGGAAGGAAAGCTGATTTTTTTTTTATTTCTTGCGTTTTCCCACATTTTATGTATTGCAGTACGGTTTGGTCATGTGTACCGCAAATTTAATGGGCAAGCTGCTTAAGACTCAGAAGCCAGCAGCTAGACTAAGTTTAAATGTACCATTTGACACACCTTCCAGGCAAATGGTTGAACTTCTTAGATGGATGCCGATTGACAAATATTAAAAATACAGAAGGTTGTGAATTATATATAAATGTCATCATCAGGTAGTGCCTGAATATTCATCAAATAATGTGTCTCTAGTGCGAGATGGTCACTGTAGGAATACGGGATTTGCTATTGAACATAATTTTAAAGTACCAAAACATACAACTGTTTTTTATTCCAGACACTTTTTTATTGACAGTATTAACGACTGGAATGTTTTACCGAGTGATCTAAAGAAAATAGACAATTTTGCCACTTTCAAACGGAAACTTACTAGATATTGTATAGCAATGTCTTAGATTTTAACTTGCTTCACCATGTAACCAAAACTTGTTACTTTCTAAATAGACTTCTTATCTAAATTATATTAAAATTTTAGATTATGCTATATTACCGTATAACTATGTCAATTGTTATTGTTTGCTATAATAACATGTGTGTATATATGGCACATGCCATTTAATTAACACAATCCCTTTGCATGAAACTTTATACATTCTGTGATACTCTTAACTAGGATAACTGTGATATAACCTTATATATGTCGATCGCATCAATATATATGTAACTTTTAACTAGCACATGTATTTTACTAGCAAGATTACCATGTTTATTTATATATTTAGTGCGTAAATATGTTATTTTATCTAACCCATGCATTTTACTAACAAGAGGATCATGTGGAAGATTAGCCTTTTGCTGAACATATATTTTATCCTCAATAAATAAAGTGTAATATTATAGATGTGAACGAAGAATACTTGTTGATGATAAATTGTATGGTGTACATTAAGTAATAATAATATAAGTCTGTTGTTAAATGATTGGAGCCTATACGACTGTTAAAGTGTATATATAAAGTAAACGGTTCAACCATGTACAGTTTTATGTCATTGCTTTACACCTAGCTAAGTCGAGGAAAAGGTTTGGCTATGGTGTTGTAATTAAGAGCTTATCCAACCATGATCTACATTGTTTACATATACGATAACACATTCTTGTACATATACGGACGTGTATTAAGCCAAACACTTAATCCGGACAATATTAATTGAAAATAAATAATATTCTGCATGCTCATCCATCGTAATAGCAACATATATATAAATGTCTCTATCTATATAATGATATGTGATATCCGAACAACACAGGGATACTATATTAATTTATGTAGGTATTCCCTATTGTCCTTATGTATTTATATGTTGATATGTCTGATGATAATTACTCGGTCAATCCGGATCTGTTGAAATATCATATTGTCTCTATCAAGGTAGCCGTTGCATTAAATGTATTTTCAGTATCACTCGGATATAGGTACAAAGGTACTTAACTTACATGGAAAATATCATTCAAGGCTTACTGTAGAATTGGGTTTTCCAGTGCTCGTTTAGAATTAGAGTATTTTGAGATTGGTACCGATGTGGATTGCAAATAATATATATAGGTACATCATGTATTTAATCGCTGTTGTGTAAAAGAGGTGAATGATATTGATTGACATATTTTCATATTATGACATGAAAAGCACGTATACGTGATCCGGCTCATATCTATTAGTTAAACATGTGTGGGGATCTTACTTTTTTTCTCATTTACTTGTAGTCACCATTTAACGATATGGCAGCGAAAGACAAACAACCCCCAGAGGTTCTACATTTGCACAAAGGGAGTAACTAGGAAAATTATTTGCGGTTAATAGAAAAGCATGGTCGGACATGTGCAGCCAGGTGGAAATATTACGTCTCCTCTCCAATGCTGACCTAGGAGAAGTTAAAAGCATGAATGCTCTTTTCATTAATTTGATAAAGAGCAATGACAATACCATTACGTACAGGAACTATGATGAGATTTATGACATTTTCAATGACCAGGACGTTGAGGCTGGACACATAATTCAGCGCTTCACAAAACGTATAACAGAGGCCTCCAAAACAAAGGGTATGTATGTACTGCTTACAAAAAGGATCAATGCATACCATCACAGAACCAAAAGCATATTATTACATGTTACAAAACAGCTTTTAATAAGTTTAGAAAACAAAAAAAAATGAAAACCCGGAAATCCAGAAGAAAAAACAACAACCTTTTTTATACCCCCAATAAGTCTTTATTATCCTAATCATAAAACATTTTTGTCATTTACAGATAAATGACATTTAGATGTCATATCTGTTTTTTTTTTTATTTTTTAACTAAAAGTTGTATAATAACAAATATAGTTATCTTTACTAAGACCATAACTCTATGTCTACTTTCAGGAATAAACGTCTGAGTAACAATAATAATTTAACATGGGAGTAACTTCACTAGTATTAAAATCAGAATGAAATATTGCCTTATGGATTTCAAAAGGATTACGTTCATATCATATGTCATCAAAAAAATAAATCATATTTCAACAAACTGGATGGTTTGTTTTGGTTTGATGTTGTTCAACCTCCTGAAAAACTAAGGTCATTTAAGGACACGCCTCCATGTGTATTATGTATGCGTGCATGTATTTTTGTGTTCTGGAGATAGGGTATGTTTGTGTTATTGTCTCCTTGTGATACGGACTTTATAGTAATGTCTCACTAAAATACCATGTCGAATGCACCCGGCACAGCATTCCGCCCGGTCACATTATACTGACAACGATTGGACCAGTTGTTGCCATTTCCCTAAATGCTGAACATTAAGCAGGGAACAACAAATACCATTTTAAGGACTTTGGTCGCCTGGGGACAGAACCCATTGCTTTCCTCACCTTGGCAAACGTTCATCACTAAGCCAAAATTGAGGTGTTCCAAAGCAAAGCGCTATGAAATAAAAGATCGTTAGACGTAGAAACAAATACATAGATTTCAAATATTGCAATTGGTGGAGCAGATACATTTTGTGTCCACAAGTAAAGGACACAAAAGAAAATTCCAAAATATGCAGGGGTTCACACAGTAATCGCCTCTTACGATACATGCAGTGAGTAACAGCTGGTGTATTCTTTTCTCGATCCCCGAACTGCAAGGGTAAACAGGAAGGTGTGTTTGCGTTGTCTGGTTAGGATTTCGGTTAACTAATAATTTATAAATAAGACTTGATGTATTGTTATGTTTAAGTGTTATTTAATAGGATAATAATTAATTAATAAAATATGTTTGAACTTGTAACCTTTTCGGTATTTGAAAAAAACGACAAGCACATAAACATTTTTAATCATATATATATATGTTTTTTTCTGGTGGTGGTGGGGTGCGGGTTAGGATGGGGGAGGGTGGTTATATTAGCAGATTCGTTGGAATGTATTGTTTCCTATATAATTTCTTGCCTCTGTTAACAGTAATGTTGCATATTTATATTTGTATTTTAAAATTCCATTTTTTGTTTCCGTACATGTGCACTTTTCTCCATAGAACTTGTATGTTAGGGATATTATCAATAACGTGCATATGATAGGCCTCCTCGTATTAAAATGTTTATACGGCAACTACTGCTAATCCAACATGGTGGCACCAATGGAACATGAAGATACCTTTGCTTGCACTTATTATGTTCGGTTTATTAACTTGCAAGATAACAGATAAGGCCCGGATTACCTCGCCCTTGAGGTAACGCATTTCATGGAATATGTCCAGAAAGCCAATATTGTTATGACCTCACGAATGTTGAAAATATCATTTAGTTGCCTTTATTTTAAATTTTTAAAATGTAAATCTTTCCTTGGGGTTCTAGCAACAGCATGACGCAAAACAATCAACATATCTTACCGTTTTCAAAATCTGATTTGTATTTATACAAGTCGTATATTTTTTATCGTATAATGTACACACCTTATTTGAGATTAAAATCAAGCCAATTATGTTTAATGTTAATTGATATTAGCATAACAAAACTAAATCGAGGGATTTTTCATGGCGGATGTGAACCAATTGGATCGTTTGTAGTGTATCAATACGCAGTGCTGAGGTCACATGTGTTATGCAAAAATGAATGACATTTTAGTTAATGTGTCCAAGCATACATAATCTAAAAACCAATATATTTTTTAAACAAATAGACTAGTATCAATCTCTTAAAAAACATTAATGTAATTCTTGGATATATAACAATTATCCAATCAAAATCAGAATTAAAAGCAAAAATGAATGACACTTTCATCAATGGGTCCAACAATATATAATCCAAATATAAATAGATGTTTTAAACCAATAGACTGGTATCTTAAAAACATTAACGTAATTCTTGGATATAAAACAATGACGACATATTATGGTTATCTATTAGTGCCTTATATTATTTTATCAGTACTCCAATTAAAATCGTACTATTTGTTATCTTTTATGTATATATATATCCCTTTCTTCGTGAGTTCTTTGACATATGTAAATTGCCACTTACTCAATGGTTCCCCGTTTCATTTTCATCGGGGGTTCATGAGCATTTATGTATCGAATAGATCGAAATTCATTTTTCACTAACAAAATCAAAAGATTTTTGTTTTAATAAACATAGTATATTTTATAATAACTTAATTCCTTTGACTATGTATGGATACACACAAGTGACATTTAGTTGTTTTTTTTTATTCAAACTTCATGATCTATTGTCAAACACGTTTTGTTCGTCTGTATGCCTCTCTCAATGTACTTTTATATAACATATAATGCTAATAACAACTTCAATTTAATCATAAATTTCCAAACAAAACAAAACTTAAGTTTTTATTTTTTCTAGGAAAACGCAAGCAAAGACGTAACTGTGATTCCGAATCTGAAACCGAAGAAAGCAATTCGAAAGGAAGGAAAGGTTAACATATTTTTTTTCCTTGTATCAAATATTTAGTCATCAGTTTATCATCAACCAAATGCAACAGAATTTATTTTCCAATAAATATAAATTGTAAGATTGTTTTTTAATTCCACTGACTATTATTGAAACAAATAATTGACTTGCAGTTGCAAATTTAAGTTTTATCTTCATTTTGCTATCTTTATGACGTTTGCAAACACTTTTTATTCGTTTACATGTCATCAACTTTACGTCTCCTGATGCTTCGTTTTAGTACATTTCATGCTTATGAAAGATTATTGTTATCATAATGTGCGAACGAAACAAACTTTATGTAAATATATTATTTAGCGAAGCGCAAACACCGCCTTGACTCTGATTCAGAAACTGAAGTCGAAGACGGCAAATCAAAACGAAGGAAAATTGAGAATCAGTTTGGTTCAATGTATCGAATATTTCGAAGTTCGTTATTACTTTATCATTAACGAAAGTCATTCTAGCTTTAATTTCTGAAAAGTATCAGTTGTTAGTTATTCATTAAATCCCTCTGACTAATATTGATTAAAAAAATGATTTTGACATCTACTTTACAAACTTAATATTTGTATTATTATATCTGTCTGACGTTCGGGAAACACCTTGTATTGGTTTACCGTCATCAGTAATTTATGCATATTTATTATAAGTAAAAGGCAAAATAAGTCATAATTCTGATTCTGATACTGAAGATGAAAAACGCAAACTGACACGAAGGAGAGGTTAGTATTAATCTATTTTAATGTATCGAATATGTCGTCATAATTTACTGAGAAAAAAAGTCAAAATGTTTTGATTTTGAAAAAATGCTATTTTTCATACAATTATTAAATTCCACTGACTTTAATTGAAGCAAATTTGACATCAAGTTTATCTCATTGAATGTAATGCTACAACAACCTTTTATAACGATCAAAATGGACAAACGGAAATAAAGCGTATGTATATTTATTATTTAGGGTATCATAAACACAGTCGTGATTCTGATTCTGATTCTGGAAGGGAAGCCGACGGAGGCGAATCTAATCAAAGAAAAGGTGGGCGCCGTTGTATGTTTAAGCATATAGAATATTTTTTGAATAATTTATAACAAATCAAATCCCGTAATTTCCTAGTATTGGTCATTGCTGTTTTCTTAATGTGTCTGCAACACTCGAACAATACAGGAGTGGAAATATTCAAATTGTGATACAGCCCTAGATAGTTAAATATGTTATTGTATCATGTCCATATGTAAATCATGTCAAGCTGCAATCATGATTTATACTTACAGAAAATGCGGGGAATTTAAGAAAAGAATTCGATGACATGCAAAATGCAAGAATAGTTTATACCTGGCAAACAGCGATGAATGCTGTCGGATTTATCCAGGGCCCAGTCGCTCAGGGCACAGGGTTTAGAGTGGGAAAGGACAAGATAATGACAGCCTACAAAGTGGTAGAGGACATAACAAGTAAGTATGTTATTGTTGATGAAACAATATTTTAAACATTATTTATCACAATATACAAATACTTAATCGAAAATACTTTTTGAAGTATTTAACCACCATGCGCTTGAAATAATAAGATTTAATTTCTTGTTGCGAGAACAATCCTTTGATCATGGCCATGTTAACATGAAAAACGGGACGATTTTTTTCACATGTTTTCGAAATATACATGCACTTTATAATTCGTAAAAACACACACACAACAGTTACAATGTATGAATTAAAGCTCACATAATACTTGTACTTAATAATTTGTACACAATTCCAACATAAGTAGACTTTAAAATCTTTACAAAATAGCAGCGGTTATAGTTTTATTTTGCTCCAAAAGCTTAAATGGTGATTTGCACGTGACGTTTATAATTAATTGTTTATACAATTAAAAATTATCATTTTACTTAAAAAGTTGTAGTTGCTGGGTTTATATTTATGTTGTTGTTTTTTTATATATTTACCTATTTATTAATTTTAACGTATATAAACAGGCTATAACAGTTAACCTACTGATGGTAATAAATATACTTCTTAAGATGCTCTATTGTACATAGCATTGCATGTATCTACAACATATCAGAAACAACGCCTTCCGTCCCGACCCATTCACGGTATATAATACGTTTTCCTATTCCAGACAATAGAACATACACAAGTGTCATCTTGTACTTCTCGTTAGGGTGGTCGGTTGGCGCAGTAGATAGTGCACTTGCCTTTCACAAAGACGGCTGGGGTTCGGTTCCCCGATCAGACATGAAAGGAACGGCGTCACTTGCCCGACCACTTGGGTTTTCCCAATGTAATCACTGCTTGCTACAGTCCGGGCCAACTGGATTATTTGATATAAGTTTGTATAACTTGTTGCATAATTGTAAAAAAAAACCCAGCTATTTCGTTTTAATATTTGTTTCCCTTTTTCTCATTTTAGAGATTCACAAAGGCGCCAAACCAGACCTGTCGAACCTTGGACAAAACAATGTATTCATCACGTTCAACTTTATTGAGGCCAATGACTCGAAGAACACTCGAAAGTTTTATATCACAGAATGTCTTTTCCATGACAAAGAAATGGATTTCGCCATTTTACAGTTACGAAATAAGGATAAAACAGAAGATTCTAGCTATCCAAAAGCCATAACGCATTTCAAGCCCGTATACCCTGACCAGACCTTCGCTCTACTCAGTCACCACCATGGGAAGCCTTTGCAGCTGGAGCCAAAGGTTCACATATTTGATACCAAAAGTGATCAAGGGAAAAGACGGCTAGAGGAGATGAAACAATGGGGACGCAAACAAGGTAAAAAGTCTGCGTATGAAAATATCCTGGACAAAAACAAAGTTTTATTTGACTGCTGGACTAGGTATGGGGGTTCTGGATCACCGGGAATTGAAATGGGTTTAGATGGGGAGCCCGTCTGTAGCCTCATGCTTTTACGTGGATTTCCGGACTTTGTCTATAGTGAGGGATATCACAGTAAGAAAGAATATCATCCGTACATGGTTGAGCAAGGCGTTACAATGGAAGCGATTGCAGCAGCATTAAACAGAATGGGTTCAGAGGAGAAGGCATTAAAGCGGGAAATATTTGGCGACAATGCTTTCTTATACTAAGAATTAGACAGATATATCTTTGTGCCCCCATAACAACATTTTTTGGAATCTTATATTGTGAGATTTTGAAAATGTCTGATTTCTTTGTCAATCAAATAGTGAAATGACTGTTGAGTCGACTAAAAACCGATAAAAACAATTTTCTAAGCCTGGTGCGCTAAAAAAAGAAGTTAGCTGTAGCGAACATAGATACATTTCGAGCAATTGCACTTCTATACTGCAGGCATTCAAGAGAACGAGTGACATATTTACCCATTCCTCCCCTAAGTGAATGAAGCTGCAAAGGTCATAAGAGATTGGTTAAATACAATAACTCATCCAATTCTACTGACACATTTGAATCAAATCTTAAATGTTTGATTTTGGTTTGTTGGTGTTTTACGTCCTACAAACAGCAGTGGCCATTTAAGGAGGTACGAGGTTTTGGTGGTGGAGGAAAGCTGGAGTTCCCGTAAAAAACCCCAGCAACCATCGGCCAGTACCTGGTGACTGCATAACATAGGCCTCGAACCCGCGACCCAATGGTGGAGGGCCACTGGTAGCAGGATGATGGACGCCTTAACCACTTGCCTACCGTAGCCCCCGCGAAATATAATATAATATAATGACATTTTCCTGAAAAGTTTTGTCGGTCTCATCATTATATCAAACTTGAATGTGGAAAAATGCACTTGCTGATGTGATACCAGCATCTACAGTTAATGATTCTAATACATGTTTCAATATCCAGTATTTTTTTTCTGAATAATTGTACTACATCTGCATAGGTAATGAAGTAGCGTGTTCAGCTATGGACAATAGTTGGGGACAGTTTTGTGTCATTCTCCTGGTAAATTATACACAAGTGTCGAGTCGACGATCCAATTTGGCACAGTAAAAGGTAGGGTTATCCCATTTGGACGCTTCAACTCGCACATATTCCAACTGGATGCCATTGTATTGTACATACGTTCCGCAAAATAATAGTCACACGTAACCCATATTGCGCTATAGAGAGTGTGTCGCAACAGAGATACATACAGAGGATCATCAGACTGATAACCTCAAAGAAAAAAGCAGCCATAAATGAAACTGAAAATTTTAACACAAACAATACTATTAGACAGAGTACAGTAATCGTGTCCTACACTGGGACACTTGCATAACACTAACGTTTGGTTATTGAAACGCACAGAAAATATTTTGACAGTTCTGTTCTTTTTATCTATTTGTATTACCTATTAGTTAATAACTGTATTCTGTATTTGTATTTGCTTTCAAAGGGTGTTTTTATTATTGTGTACATACTATGTAAATAATAAGTAATTCTGGTATTATTGTTGTAATGGTTAATTGGTCGATTGCTAACGGTACAAAACCAATATCGGAAAAGGGGTTTAAACTATTGAATTTTCTACATGTTAATGTCCTTTTCGGAAATAATTGTTTTTAATGGTTTTTTCTCGATGGGGGGATGTCTTTTAGATATCTCCATATCTCCACCGCTATACCTCCCCAGACAAAACCAACATACGTACAATGTATACCGGGACAATCTATGCAGCAGTGATCATTCGCCCCTTACTTCCATTATAAAGGCAATTTCACTATAAAAAACAAATCAACATTGAGAAAAACATGAATTAAACGGCAAAAGAAAATTATTTCGATGGAATCAATATCCCGATATATATTAAACAAGTAGTGGATTGGCTCATTACATTCCAGCCTGCACACATTTTTTTGTATTATTTCAATGTTTTTGTTACGTTTGTATGTATGAATGTTCTCTTAGTTTTCTCTTTATGCAGTTTTAATAATGTTTACGATTTGTTTTGTTTGATGGTAAATAAGTAATGAATAACAGAAAAGAAGATGCAGGGAAAATATAAACTTCCACAAAAATCAGACAAAATAAACTCCCCGAAATACAGTGGAAACAATATTTTGATCCCCTTAAAAAGAGAAAAACACATGTCTCCAAAATACAGAGAAACTAATCATAACAAAAATAAGACAATTGCATATTTGACAGCGGTTTCAGATGCCTTTAATTAATCTAGTTTAATGACTTTTCACCAGTGAAATTATTAATTTAACAAAACTTTAGATTTTGACTGTAGTGAAGTGTTATATCTCTACATGTAAAGTATCCTTTTTATTAATGGTATTATTCATCCGCTGCATGAAAAGCCACAGATTTCCAAGTCAGATGTAGATGAAACGAAGATAGAATAAGGAAGAAGAGGTTTGTTTTTCTCAAGAATGATAACGTTATAACTGGCATGGAAGTTCACCCTACTAATGTGCAAACTTTATTGATGACAACAACATTTTCTTATTTGTTGAACTTTTTAAAAACCGGTATGTAACAAAAAGAAAAAATATTGGTTATTACGTTGTCAATCATATCAAAGTTCAGAAAGAAATGGTTCATAAGTGCTTTGTACTCGTAAAACTCTTGATATTTTACAATTCCGACAAAATATATATCATTTAAAGCATGCAACGTAAAACCTCTATTTTTTCTCTGACATATCACATTTTTAACATTTATTTATAATATCATATGTGTTAACATGATCAACGAAAATTGATACAGTTGTAAACATGTTTTACACATATATTCATTTGCATTTATGAAATTGAAACTTTAACTGTGTATATTGATTATTTGACAATGAAGAACAAAAATGAATTATAGAAATAAATTATTATATACATATAATGACGTTTATTAAATTTCATTTGATTTGTGAAATTAAAAAGTAAATGCTGGGTTATGTGTCAATATAAAACAATTGATTAATAAAGTCCGGCAGTGTTTCTTGTGTCTCATTTAAAATATTTTTGTTTATATTTTGCATGTATTTAAATATGTACTGATATGTACAGAATTAGAAGGTACCGATGAGTATTATGTCATCACTCATTGTAAGACGTCGTCCTGGTTAGATGAATAACTTGTTTGCATTGATTACAACAACAACAACAACAACAACAACAACAACAACAACAAAAATGTAAATAAGTTTTCTTTAATTTAATAAAAAAATAAACTTTGATAAAAACCCAACAATCTATCGATAGAACTTCTTCCCGTGCTCCGCTGAAAAATATAATAGTCATGCGACAACTGAAAACTGTATTGGAAGTTAACCTTTTAAATGTTAAGTAGTTATATTGAGTCCAATTCCAGAAGAAATGTAAACATTTCGGATAATACACTGTAAAAAGCACATTCGTCTAACTTGGTGCTAGAAAAGTTATGTATCGAAATGGACACTATAATAGTTACATATTCCCTACGTGACACAATCACATACATGTATTTATTTCTTAACGGAAGATGTACTAGATACATATATCGCACTAGACGCTAAAATGGATACATTTAACTAACTGGACGCTTTAGCGGGAACACTTGTCCCACTGGGCATGTAGGTGTACCATGTGTACCACTGGACGCTATAACAGATTAATATGTCCCACTGGACCTATATGTGTAAAATGTGTACCACTGGACGTTATAACAGGTTCGTGTGTCCCACTGGCCTATAGATGTAACATTTTTACCAATGGACGCTACAACGGGTTTGTATGTCCCACTGGCACTAAAGGTATACCATTTGTACATCTGGACACTATAGCGCGTACACAAGTCCCAGTGTCCATATATGTGTAACATGTGTATCACCGGACGCTACAGCAGTGGTGGCGCAGTGGATAGCGCACTTGGCTTTAACAAAGACGGCTGAGGCTTCTGGATCACCGGGAATTGAAATGGGTTCCGATGGGGAGCCCGTCTGCAGCCTCATGCTCATACACGGATATTAAAATCCTGTCTATGGTGAGGAATATAAAAGAAAGGTGGAAGACCATCCATACATGATCGAGCAAGGTGTTACAATGCAGGCGATTGAAGCACAATTAAACAGAATGGGTTCAGAATCGAAGGCAATAAAGCGGGAAATATTTTCTGACGTTTTCGAATAATTAAGAATTAGAAAAATATATCGGTGTGCCCCAATAAGACCAGTTTTATTTTGCATCAAAACAGTATTTAACATTAAAGGCTTATTTTATTTTAAACACAAACAGAAATTGAAATCTTCTGTGTAATTTGTCAATCAATTAGTGTCAAAATTCATTGAGACATTTCGCCCAATTGCACTCTTTATACTGCAAGCAGTCGGGAGGACGGGTAACGTATTTAGTGGATGAGACTGCCAAGGTCATTAGAGCTGCGTTAAAAACAACAAATCATATAAATGCACCGACTTTTAATCAAATTTTTAATTGTTTGTCTATATCATAATATAATGAAAATAGCCTGAGTGTGAAGACATTTATGTCGGCAACATAATCATATTTAACGTGAAAGTGAAAGAAAGATACATTTGCTGTAATGAAACCAGCAGTATTAAGTTGTTTTAACTCATGGTTATTTTCCAGCCTGTTTCTGTATATCTGTACTGTCGGCATAGTTGATGAAGTAGCTTATACGGGGTTTTCTTGAAAAAAAAGGAACATGTAGTGTTCACATTTAACATAAAATGTTAACACACGGAGACAAAACTACATCCACTGGTTCGAGGAAAGAGTAGGTCTGATGAAGCCCACCGTATAATACCACCAGTCAACATAATCTGACATTTTGCAGAATAAAATAAGTAGCTCCCTCTTTGCCCTCTGCTTGTTGGACACAAAGGAAACCACTGTTGATATTCTGCCCCATTATAACACTAAGGGATCTTTATCTTCTTGATTGACTTTTCAACTCTTTCCCTACGGCGTTATCTCCCTAAGAACATGTATTCATATGAAACTTGACAACTGCGATAACGTTCAACACAACACAAACGAAAAGACGGAGACAAAACCCTGACTTACTGTTGCGTAATAAGCGTAATATGCCCAGTATGCAGAATTTGACACTCCGTGGTGGGAAAAACTCTAGATTTAAGAATTATTGTTAAGATTTTGTTTATTTTCCGAGCAGCCGTTTGCGACTGTATCGATTGTCTACGAAAAACAACAGTGTTTTATATGGGTTTTTTTCAAAGAAAATAAAAGGCAGTTCTTTGAAAAACTGATGGAAATAAATGTTGTGTATCTGGTATATTACGAGGACCTTTACGACTATGTTATCACTATATAGTTTTGGTACCTAAACGATGTCTAGTGAACAGGGAGACATGTCGCAAATCAAGTACCATAATGTTCATTCGACCCTTTTGAAAAGGCGTCAATGAGAAATGGGGGAAACCTTTCTTCCGAATCGTCAAGAATTTCTGATGTTTCGAGATCACACAGCGTAATCACAATTCAATGGAATAGGCATTTATAGGTTCTGTGTGAAAAATATCACAATTACGTTATGAAGGTGAGCCATTACACAGAAGTATGGAAACTCTATATAATTTTCAAATAATTGCTGTTCCGGGGGTTAACCCTTGGTGTTAAACCAGTCCTCCCAATCCATGTTTCATTCTTTTTTAATATAGGGGTTGGTTTTTGTTCGAAGCATACACGATTTTCTCGGAAGAATATCGGTATAAATATGTAGAGTGTTTAGACATTTCTAAATAAGCGTATTTTTTTTCTGGACACAGTCAACCTGGATTTCAAAAATCGTTGCCCGGAAAATTAAGTCGAGGAGAACTGTTAATCCACAACTCAATGTTTTTAGTAGACATGTTTACCCTCTGTAAGGGTCAGCGAATAACAACCATCGACATGAACGTTTTTTTTTATCATCATATCTGCTATCTGTGTAGAGCGTCACACAGGAGTAACCCTCTCACCTAAAAATTAGAGCAGACGACAGGAGACGCGTGTGTATGATAAACGACGGGTTTTAAGTGCCACTAGTGTAAGGCTGCGGGTGAAGGGTCAGATGTGCGTTGTAACGGCATATATATAGGGTAGACGATTGTGTGCTCAGTATGTGTATACACAGAACGATCTGCACAAGTGAATGTTTACAATCGAGGACACTCAAGTTGAAAATGTCAGCCTAGTGCATATAAATGCGCTGTATTATAACACTTGGATGATTCGTGGGACGGAGAAAAACTAGCGAAACACAACGAAGGAACTTGATTTATGTTAGTTCTGAAGGACGTATTTTCGCTGTATCGCCCGTAGATGAGGCTCTAAAAAGACACCTTTTTTTAAAGTGCACGCCATCAGAACAGATTGGAGGAGGGAACATTAACGCATTACATACTTTTATTTATAGTGTCAGATTCGTTTGATTCATAATTTTTTGGAACTGGAATCTATTTTTTCCGAGCGTACATTGCGACTTACATAGATTACACATAATATCAGTCAATAGTCTAACCGATCCACTTTAAAAGACAAATAGCACATGGCGTTTGCCGACAGTCAGTCATACGCGAACGTCAGCGAATAAAACAGAAAACATAATCGACAGTATCAGCAAAACATCTTCGAGGTCTTTTGGAGGTATGGTGCCTTCGGAACAGTCATTAAGCTAGGATTTCTATGAAGATTATAAAGACATCACAAATCCGAACAGAAAATAAGAACAGATACAGTGCTTTATCATTAAAGTTATATAACTTGAATACCGTTCAATGGATAGAAATGTGAAACTGCTCACCAATAGGCTGCGAAATTGTTTTGTTTTTGAGTGTTTATTCCTTTTAAAGTCTGGTATAACTTTTAAATTTCAATATCTGGTCATACAAACAGATTTTGCTTGTATCGTTAGCACAGGATTTTTCTCTATGTTGTTTTGCAAATTTTAAGCTTCATTTCTGGTTTTTTTTATGTCAACTAAATTCATTCAAGTAAATCCGAAAATATTTGTAAAAAGAAATCTGTAAACTGCTTTCAAAGAAGGGAAATCTGTCACATAAAGAAAGAAAAAATCTTAAACATAAAGAAACAATTCTTAAACATAAGCCATATCGGGGAAATAAATCCATCGACACTTTACTACAGAAACATAACAAAACGAATGTCTGCCCTATAACAGGCTGCTGTATTAACATGTGGCATACTCTATAGAACAGTTCAGTACAGTGTTTTTTCAGTATGTATTAATTACCAAAACTGAACATAATCCTCAGATATAGGTTCTG